TAGGTATATTTAAATATCATGAAAGATTAAAAAATTCCAGAATATGAAATATTTCTGTCTAAAGCCCTTCAAATAATGCATAATCAACCCAAAACAGTGACAAAGTTTGAGAAAGAGATCCAAAGAAGTCAGATGACAGACAAGGACTACATATCTGCAGAGTTAATAGAATAATATCTTGTTTAAGTTGCTACTAGTAGGTCACATATGTCAAGGACTGAGGACTGGTCATTTTAGCTAGTAACATGAAGCCAGGGTGACTTGTTAGAGCAGAAGTGGAATGGATGAAGCTGTGGAATAGGAGAAACACAAGGGCAGCACAGACCAGTAGGCTATGCCTTCTACTGGGAGCCAGATCCAGAGCTTTACCCTGTGCTAGAAACAATAAAATGTTGTCGCACTGTCCCATTTTCCTAAGCTTCCAACATCTCATTTCCCTTCTGCAAATACACAATCTAAAATAAAACAGATTAGGCCAATTTTCCAAAATCATCCTCATAGTCTCACTCTCCTAGAAGTAATACCATATTAGACATAATTAGATTTAAAAGGTTCCCAGATCTCTCTCTCTCTCTCTCTCTCTCTCTCTCTCTCTCTCTCTCTTGGTTCCAGAGCAGGTTTCTAGCCTTTGGGTAACCTTTAACAAATCTTCACATACTTTGACCACAAAGATGACTAGTTAATTTCATTCTACTATTTGGGTTCATGGGATCAGTGATCAGTTTACTTTCAAGTTGTACCTATTTCATTGCCTGCTCCTAGAGGTTTCTAATACAAATCAGATTTTGAAAATGTTCTAATGGAGCATATTACTTTTCAAACTTCATCTCCTTCCACTACTCACTGCAAACTTTCTAGTGTGTATTACTGTTCTTCAAACAGCCTTCATTTTCTTGTCTGTCCATCCCCATAGCAGAAAGGTATTAGGACTATATAGTATTTCCAGCAATATAAAGCATGTGTAGTCATATCATAAGGGAAATTTTCCATAGTAGAAATCTGATTATTTTCTGCAGAAAACATTTTAAAATTGTACTTGAAAATAAAATGCCACAGATGCACAGAGGTCTTACCCATCTCCAAAGAGAATGGGATATAGAGTATGCTCAACCTCATGCAAAACACAGTCATTTGGATGAGCAGAGTATTATACTGATGAAATCATTTGGTAATAAAAGGAAGTTTTCTGATGAGTTTTCACCCTTTATTTGTCTGTTAAAAGCTCATTTCAGAGAAAAGTCATTTGAAAATCTAAAGAGCCATTTGATAATCACACTCGGATATTTTCAGTTGGAACTGATTCCTGTAACGGCATGGATGTACATCCACCAGTGTGTCTGTAACAGGAACCATTTCAGAAGAGACTAGATTGCCACAGATTCCCAGGGCCTCACAGCAAGGCAGTGGTAGGCTTGTGGTCAGATACTTTTCATCTTCCTTAATGACAGACACACTCCAGTTGTCACCCCATAGGAAATCAGGAAGTACGCTAAACAATCCCCGTAAACTTGAAATTGCACATATTGTACTGAAGGAAACATCCTAGCCAATGTTTGGATTTATTTTGAAGGAGAGTGAGAAGAAAAGAAAGAAAGAGGGGGATTTTTGGAAGAAAGCTGCACACGACATCACCAAACAGCTGGCTGGTTTGTGTCCCAGAAACAGCTTGGGACTAGCTGTGCTCACAAGATCTCTTAACAGAGAGACTTGATGAAAATACCAAAGCTGTGAGGAGAAGTGTTCTTCTGCTGAATGTTTCATGGTGCTACCCTGTGGCTGACTAACTGAAATGAGAACGCACACACCTATTTTTTAAATGTCTGACTGTGCAGGTGAGGAATTAACTGATTCCTTAAATAGTGTGGATGTGGTTCACCATAGTATCAACACCAAGGAAACGGTAATAGGTAACAATGCACAGAAACTCCAGTCCTCCACATTTAGTAATTCCTAAACTTCAAATCATTCTGGAGGACAGTCAAGGGAGAACTAGAAGAAAATTTAAACATGAATTCAAGGGCACTGGTGACCTTTTTAAAAATATTTTATTATTTTTATGTGTATGAGTGTATTGCCTGCCTGGAGGTAAGTGCACCCATGTCGTGCAATGCCCCCAAGGACAAAAGAGACCATTGGATCCCTTGGAACTGGAGTTATGGACAGTTGTTAGCTGCCATGTGGGTACTGGGATTCAAACCCGGGTCTTCTGCAAAAACAATCAGTGTTCTTAACTGCTGAGCCATCTCTCCAGCCCTGTTAATCTCTGAGAGAAACTAGTTTTAATGGGTTCATGTAACATTTGTTCATCCTCTGAGCATTTAATGGAGACCTCTTGAAACAATAGGGATAACTTGATTTAAAATGCATTATTTTTTTTTTCTGGGCCCACACAGTGACTCGTGCCTTTAATCCCAGCCCTTGGGAGGCAGGGACAGGTAGATCTCTGTAAGATCAAGGCCAGCCTGATCTACATAGCCAGTTCCAGGTCAGCTGGGCTACAGGAAGATCCTGTCTCAAAAAAAAAAGTTTTGGCTTACCTGTTAGATGCCAGAACTATGAAACAGTAGAAAATTCACCTTACTCTTAGAAATTTCTAGTAATGGAGGATATGTAGTATCAAGAAATTTAGCATTTTAGGAAATTTTGCATTCTATTACCCCCCCATGTATTGATTCAATGAATTTATTCATTGCAAAATATCAAAGTTTGATTCAATTAGCTGGAACCTTTCATATTTTTATCATAAAGCATTTTTGGTCAGTTTTAGTTTGTGTGTGTGACATCAGAATTAGTTTCTCATCTCAGAGTTTGCTAGATTTCTCCAGTGACTAAAGCAGTTTATTGGCAGTCAGTTTGTAAAACGCTCACTGGGGTTGTCTCAAAGTAGGATGCTAAGATGGAAATACATATCATTGACTTGCCTGTCAAAAAACGTAATTAACACAGATGATATACTGCTTTGCAAAAGCCGATGAAAATTCCAGAGGTGACCTGAGTCACAGCTCCCCAGTGCCTGTACAGCCTACACTGAGCACTCACCCACTATGGTATAAGCCTCTACTTTTAGTTTTCCTGTCATTTTTCCCCATGTGCTGATCTACATTCATGTCTGTGTTTGTGTGTATATTTTTAGCTCAAAACCTACCACTCAATTTCAATAATTCTGGTTTGATTAGGTTTATTACATAAGGAATATTCCATTTATATAAGACAAAAATGAAAACACTTATTTTATCAGCATATTTGAGTATTTTTTTCTTTTTTATGGTTGCACATAACTCAGTATGTAGGTATGTAATTTATTTAACTAGTCTCACACTGATGAACATTAGGTTTTTTCCACTCTTTTGCTCTGTTCCCCCAAATAATAAAAGAATAATATTTCTTTTGTGCTATCAAGCTGTTAGAGTTCTATAGACTGGGTGGCTTATAAACAGGAAAAATAGATTTCTTACAGTCCTGAAAGCTGGCAGGCTGAAGTCAGAGGTCAGCATGGCGCATATGAATCAGCCCAAGAACTCTTTACTGGAGTGTATACTCTGGACTTGTGTTTTCACCTGATGGACAGGAAGCTAGTTTTCTGGCATCTTTTTATTAGGGTGCTAATTCCACTTTCATGAAAGTGTCTTCCTTAGGATCCAATTACCTTCTAAAGGTCCCACATCCAAATACCATCACAATGAAATCAAAGATACAGCATATACATTTAAGAGTGGCAACTGGAAACTTCGGTCCATTGGATATATTTAGTTCATGTGTATATCATTTTATAACCTGTATGATAATTCCAGAAGTAAAATTATAGGCCAATAACTCTGCACATTTCTAATTTTGAAATTTGCTGCCCAGTTCAGTTGTTGAGTTGTGCCATTTTACTTCATAACTACAAGTGTAAGAGATAGAACTATACATCCTTATTCTTGACATTAGAGAGTATTATCTATATTGGGAATTTTATCAACCTAAAAATAGGAAAGGGTTTATCAGTGAACTTTGAGTAAACATTTACCTTATTTGATGGTCAGTATTTTATGTAGCTTATAAGTCACTTACATTTGTGTTTTTTTTAAAAGTGCTCATAACATGCTTTCTTCATTGTTGTGTTACACTGTTGGTCTTTTTCTTATCGATTTACAAGTGTTCTTCAGATACTAAGGTCCGACTTCTTTTATTTGAGGTAGTTCTCTGGATTTATTTGATCCTTCATTAGAATTCTTTGCTCTTGAGAGAGCATGCCAGCTTCATGCACATTTGGGGGAAGTTCCATTTATACACACAAATGGTCTGATCAAATTGTTTGTTTTCTGGTGTCAACTGTGCTAAATTATTTTCCTAAAAAAGTCATCGTTACTTCCACATTGAATGCATTTTCAGACAATGCATTTTTCTTACAGTATATTATAGCCTATATAAATTTTTGTCTTCTTTGTCTATCAATTACTAAAAAGAAATAAATCACAACAAAAACAGATCTATTGAAATGTCTGTGAGCAGAGATTTGTCTAGTTTCCATCAAAATTTATCATTTTTCCTCTCTATATTATCTCTAAAATATATTTCCCCATACATCATGAGATGATTTCAATTTCAGAATTATTTTTGTTCCTAATGGGGTCCTATTTTTGTTAGATACGGGTAACATTTTATGACCAAGTTTTCTTAATTTCTACTATATAGCAGAGTTTAAAATAATTCAGAGCACAATAATTTTCAGGAAAAGAATAGTTGATTTAATAGTCAGTTTATGGAAATGCTGTGAACGGTAAGACAATGCAATGGCTCAGAAGAGACGATCCTAAGTAACTGCATCATGCAGTAAAGGGGCTATATGACATATGAGCAACCTTACCACGTGCACACATATTGAAAGCATCATAAATACCTCAGTTGCTTCACCATGCTCTGATGTGGAAACATGAGTCCACATCTGCTGTGTTGGGTTACAGGAAAATAAACACAATTAAAAATAAAACTTTTAAATTGTTTTCTGCCTCATGTAGATTCACATTTCTTTGATCAATGGGCGACCAAGTGCTGATGATCCCTCTCCTGAACTATTGGAATTCACCTCTGCTCGCTATATTCGCCTGAGATTTCAGCGGATCCGTACTTTGAATGCTGACTTGATGATGTTTGCTCACAAAGACCCCAGAGAAATCGACCCCATTGTCACAAGAAGAGTAAGTTATGGGAAGTTATTTTGGAGCCTGTGAAATAATATCAACCCATCATCTTGTCTGTGGAGAAATCTAGAAAGAAATTGTTCTGTGGTTTGTAAGGATGTTATCATTAAAGACTTTGAAATTCAGCAGACCTTCCTTTGTTCAAATCCAAGCTCTGCTGTGTGTTAGCTATATAGCATTTATCAAGCCCTTCAAAATTCTTCAACTGTAATTTCTTCTTTTGTAAACTGAGGATCATAATATCTAGTTCATAATATTTTTTAAAAGCACTAAATTAGTTTTGTCACTTTGGGTGATCTGTACTGTTATATTGTCTCTGGGAAGTTACTACTGAACATTCGAGGGCTTTGAAACACTTTTAGCTATAATGAACATAAGGAAATTCATTTTATGTATTTGTTATGCACATACAACTGATGTTCTTGTGGGACCATATATTCTAATTCAGTAAGTATATGACTGGATGGAGATTCTAGTAGGTTCCAGACATGTCAGTGTTGCTGGTCCATACATCATGCTATCTCATCAAATATTCCAACTCCATCAATGAATGATGAACCATAGTATTAAACCCAGCACTGCTACAGGGGAAAATGATTCCACATACTGCTTTGGTTCTTATGAATAAAATAACAGAAGCAAACAAAAGTTTAAAACATCTTTTCAATAGATCTTTGAACTACCGAAGCTAACAGCCATGCTGTTTTCCAGTACCAAGCAGGATATGTGGGACAAAGGCATAGATGATAAGCCCAGATTACCATGAGTGATCATTTTTATTCTGAGTACGCTATACCTTAAGCACTGGTTTGTGTCACCTCTCTATCTGCACCTACATAACCAAGGCATTACAATAGGTTCTATTAAGCCGTGACTTACAGGTACATCTGTGCTAACAAATTGATTGCTGTATGATCAAAGATGTAGATAAGAAAAAAGGCTGTAGAGTGAATCTAAAATTGTGGACAAAGCACCAGATATATTCATGACTCAACAGACTGGATACCACACTCTCCAAACATTCCTCACTTGGTTTCCCTCCCCATTGTCTAATTTCCCTACCCTTAACCTCTCCATCATCACAAAATAACTTTTAAAGTTTTCATTATCCCCATATAATATATGGTAGATGTCTTTTGCTTTCCAAATCTGAAATAATTTTACTTCACATTATACTTCACCATATTGTCAATTGCCTTATGCAGAAGTAATCATTTCATAACAATGTTTGGATTCTTCACATGTTTAAAAAATCACCTTTAATTCTAATTTTAGCAAGAGGAAGACAAAATAATATTAAAGTAGAATTTATTCTTTCTTGACAAGAATCTGAGGGAAAAATCAATGGAAATAAATTATTGTTCCTTTTATCATCTTTTGCAGGAGCAGAGTGGGGGTTGGAGTGCACATTTATTATTTACACCTGCATTGTATATGAGCCTTTGAAATAGTTCAGTGGAAGTCAACATATGCATATGCTTTCTGAAGTGCTCAAGTTCAATAAATACTATGTGCAAATTTAAATATATAAAAATAGAATATTACATTTTGACTGTTCATAATTCAAAAGCAAAACACAATACCTTCATATTTAAAACAAATTTCCCAATTTTAAAAGCATCTACAAGTAACACTGTACCAGTTTTTTGAGTAAATATCTCCATTTGTATCTATGTCATTATGTTGTGAAATTAGGTGAAAAAGAGATTTTTTTTTTAATATTATCTAAATTACCTAACACATACCAGTAGTCAGTAGTTCAATATCTAGGCCTAACAAAAAGCATAAGACAAGAAAAATATTTTAAAATATCTTACACATAAAAAACACAAGCAAAAGAGGAAGGTAATAAAGAAAGCAGTAAATAGAAAAATTAAGAGTTTTAGTTAGGGAGCTCAGGTCGTACCCGTATACATGTTCTGCTAAATCTGCTACTTTTTCTTACGTATAATTAGACTGGTAGAACTTTCCTCCACTGAGTGTTATTTGGATGCTGTATAATAATGGAAAAGCCTATGGTGATTATAAAATGTTATACACATATTAATTAAAATTTTAATTTAGTCTAGCTGTGTAATTATGAACAGTATTTTTAAGAGAACTGGTTGATTAAAATAACTATGTCTATTGCCTTGTGTTAACTTCTGATAAGAAAGTGGTAGTATGGATATTCTAACATCATAAAAGTAAGTATTCTGCAAATGGAACTTGCACTTTACTTTTTTCCTTCTCAAATCCTTGTGAATGTGGATAAGATGCATCGTCGTCACCACAATTTCCCCTAAATTTATTTGTTTCTTTTCAAAATATCAGGTCAAATAAAACATTTTGATTCATGGATGCCTGATTTCTCATGATCACAATTAAAGTGTTTTTCTTTTAAGAAACTATATAAAAACAGTTGTGGAGAATTACTGTCCTCAGCCCCCAGGTCAAAGCTGCAATAGGCCTGGATGCCCCACCCTGGTTGTTGTGAAACCCATGGGAAATAAATTCCTGGGATGCCCAAGTTACATAAATTGCAGGCCTTCTTTCGAGGGGATCTGTGTGTAGAGCTAGGAGTTGCTCTGTCAATTTAGGGAGCCCTGACTTGCCTTCAAGAAACACAAGTTACCTCAAACAGACCAAAAGCAAAAAATGAAGCTTTGACTGAATGCTGCCTCTGGCTGCTTCCCCCTTCTGACCATCCTGATGGTGCTTCTCTCTGGGTTGCTTTTTTGCAGTATTACTACTCAGTCAAGGATATTTCGGTTGGAGGGATGTGCATCTGCTATGGTCATGCTCGGGCTTGTCCACTTGATCCAGCAACAAATGTATGTATATTTATAGGATGCTTAAGCAAAATGAAACTCTGAACTATAAAATGCTTGAAGAGAGGCTTTGCTGAGAGGAAAGGCAGTGAATGGGTGTCAGGTCCCCACTTAGATGCTATAACCGGAAGCCTTGCCAGAGTGAAATAGAGCTGGCAGTTAAGATGATAGACTTGGACGTCAACCCTCATGGTATCAGAAAACAGATTAGTTTTTTTTTTTCTCCCCCTCACAAAAGTTCCAAACTGGTATCTATTTTGAAGCATCTCTAGCTGTGACAACATGCTGCATGATTTAGCTTTTGAGAATGCCTGCCATCAATCTACCTGTCCAAGCCTTTTATGTTTTTAAATAAAAAATGCAAATAAATGAAAATTATGCATGGAGGTAAACATATGAGTGGCCCTATAACAGGAAGCTGATGTGGGGAGGGACAAGAAGAAATCAGGTAGAAGAGAGCATCCAAGTGTTGAAACTGCCTAGCCTGAAAATCCTGCAAAGTTTTGTGTAGAATTTTTCATTAATGACAACGAATGTATTAGGTGAACATAACCTAAAGAAGAAGATGAATGAGCATGTGTTTTTCTCAAGTCATAAACAAACTAGCGAAATTCAAAATCATCTATGTGCAGTGTATGGAAGAGATATATTGAATTGCAAGATAAGTAAATGTCTGTAAGGCCACACATTTTTTTGCTTCTATTAGAACTATATTACAAATGACATTACACATAAAGGTACTTTTTTGATTAATGGCTTATTTGATGTTATCTCCTAGGAATATTAAAAACCCTGTTATCTTTTCTGGACCAGGTTGCAGTGCAGCTTGCTGTACATTACTGTGTTGTCTACTAAGGTCAATGATGAGCAGTATTTCTCAAGCTTTGGGAGCCCACAAAGCAGCCTGGGAAGGGTAGTCCCTTGTGAATAGAGACTGGAACTCAGAACCCACACAGATAGAAGACATAGCGATGGGGAGACTAGATTTCTATACACCTAGATGCACAGTTGGGGAAGATAAACTTTCTTTTTTTTTTTCTTTTTTTTTTTTTTTTTTTTTTTTTTTTTTTTTTGGCACATCCAAAAATGTTAACAGCACTTTGAAAGGAGCTTTATAGTAGCCATCTGCCCTGGAAAGCACAGATTCCAGGCACCAAAGACAAATTTAGTCTCCAAGTGGCCATCTGCTTTCTTTAGAACCTAACCCAGTGGTTCCAGACCTAGCCTGGACCACTTTTTCCTGGTGTGGATCAGTTGCGGCCACCCAAGGCACTGTTTCCTGCCCAGGCTGAGCATGATTTTACGTTTTAGTCTAGAAATTTTCTCTTTTCTTTGTCAGTCTTCTAGAAAGAGCCTCTCCCCTATAGTTTTAAATAATATTTGAAATGTACCTGTCTCCCTGACCCCTTTTGTGGCTAGAAATCTCGCTGTGAGTGTGAGCACAACACCTGTGGGGAGAGCTGTGACAGGTGCTGTCCCGGATTCCATCAGAAGCCCTGGAGGGCTGGGACTTTCCTGACCAAGACTGAGTGTGAAGGTATGCTCCTGACTTTCTGGGTCACAGGGTCATCTCCATGTGCTGATGTTGGTTTGTAGCGTTCACCCTTCCAGTTATGCATTGTTTCCTGACAAATCCTTTATCTCACTTAGTCCTTCAGCTTTCCAGGGCTTTCATCTTATTTTAATTTGTTAAATGTTTGCTAAATGCCTGTGAACCTATAAGAATTATGAGAACTATGTGAAAAATATTGTATACTATTTGTCATCAGGAAAACCTAGTATTTATAGCATAGGATGCACACAACATTCACATAAACACACGTACACAAAGATACATGCAAGCACAAACACACAGAGCCAAACACAACCACAGGCAAATACACAAAAACACAAACCACACATAAACACACAGATAAATGCAAATACACACAGGGAAAAACACACAAATACACAAAACACAAGTATGCACACAAATATATATACATACATGCAAACTCAAACACAAAAAAAAATACATAGAAACACCGAGGAATACACACACAACAAATGCATTTACACAAACATACATGAATGCATAGACACGTACAAACATACAAATACAAAAGCACACATATACATATAAATGGAAGTGGAAATAAATATAAGTAGAACTAAGACTATATAGAGATGCACTTCCTGAGCACAGGTGCTTGTGAAATGGCTTGGGAGTCTGTAATAGCTTGTACTCTTTGCAGATGCTCCCTTGAAACCCTTACTGTATTCCCTCTAACCCCAAATAGACTTTTTAAAAAATTTTTAATAACTATATGATTAGATGAAGCATATCACTACAGCTTTAACATATTCAGTAACACACACCAGAGCAAGAGTACATCTCTTTCACAAGTGGGTGCAAGTTTTTAAGTTTACAGTTGAATTAGTAAGTTATACAATATTGAACTCAGTATAAGCCCTGTAAG